CCTCGGTTTGCCTGAGTCCCATGACTGCTTCATTTTCTGTATCACTTTCAAAACAAAGCTGTCGACCCTCAGAGTGATTTGTGGGTTGTTTTAGTTTGGTCCATGTCTGTGTGACAGAGTTCATCCACACTTTCAGGATCACACCTGTCAAGTCTCCTGTTTTGAGCTTGAAACTGTTTTAAAAAACAAAAGCTATAAATTTTCTCCTTATTAGTGATTTTACCATCTGATTTGTTTGGTATTTTATTGTGTTTTATCTTGTGAAGTAAACTTGGGTGTTTAGAAAGGCACTTTTAAATAAAATTCATTATTCCTGTTGTCTTCCCGAATTATATTATTCACTGACAATGTCCGGAATTAAGTTAAATCATGTTTTTACAAAACAATGTATTCTACCAATTAAATTTGATGATAGACACACTTACTTGTGAGTGACTGTGTGTGTGTGTGTGTGTGTGTGTGTGCGTGTGTGTGTGTGCGTGTGTGTGAGAGAGTGTGCACGCGTGTGTGTGTGTGAAAGAGTGTGCGCGCGTGTGTGTGTGTGTGAGAGAGTGTGCGTGCGTGTGCTCTGTCTTCTTGATCTGCGGATGGCTGCTTATACTGAGCCAGGATCCTCTGGAGGTTTCTTCCTGTTAAGAGGGAGTTTTCCTCTCCACTGTTGCTGCATGCTTGCTTAGTATGAGGATTGCTGTTCAGTGACTTGATGAAATTTGCTGGGTTCCTTATATAGGAAACTTTTTTTCCTGCTTGGCTTAATGAACTGACCTGAATTGGAATATTATGTGAAGTGCCTTGAGACGAGTCTTGTCGTGATTTGACACTATATAAATAAACTTGAATTGAAATGATACATACCCAACTCCACTGGCTGTAGTAGCACCTAGTTTAGACTTCAGGACAACTATGGCATCCACATGGTCCAGGTTTCACCTCCTATTTATTAAACAGATTTTGTTAGTGAAGTGGCTGTAAAAAGTGATACAAGTGTTAGATTTTAGAATGAGACAAACCATTGTTCGTGGTTCATGTCACTTCCGTTCCGTCTGTGTGCATGACAGGCCAGGAGGGAGAACAGACATGCCACAATCAGAATAATGAGCAGTCTGGAACAGCAATGCTAGCAAGTGGTTGCAGATTCCACAGCCAGCCACACAAGAGCAGTTGCTGTTGAGTCCACCAGTACAACTGGCTCATCTGAAATACACACAGAGAAGCAAAATGTAATATTTTGAAAAGAAGTCTTAAGCAAAAGCAACAGGAGTAAAACCAGCCTTGTCATGTCAGAAGCATAAGCCACTGAGCTACTGTCTCATGTAACATTTGTCCTACACCACTTGAAGAAAGAGGAAAACGGGATAGATTGAGGGAGAACATTCACTTTAGCTGAGGTGGACATTTTTTCTGCTTTTGACGTGTAGCAGTGGATGACATAGGCCGTGTTAGAGTTGAGCTGCGCCTCGCCTGGAAAACAGACGAGAGCAGACGGATGCAGCAGGGAGAGTGGCTGAAAGCCGGTATTTAAGTCGGACAGATTTCCCTACACGTGTAGCTCGGGTGTAACGATGGCTGAAGATATCGCGTTAGAGTTCATACGTGGGGCAGCAGTAGCTCAGGAGGTAGAGCGGATTGCCCCATGATCGGAGGGTCATGGGGTCAATTCCAGCTCCCGCCAGGGGTATTCTGCTGTTGTGTCCTTGGGCAAGACACTTCACCCAACTTGCCTGTGTTGGTGGTGGTCAGAGGGGCGGATGGCGCCACATGGCAGCCTCGCCTCTGTCAGACTGCCCCAGGGCGGCTGTGGCTACAAAGTGGCTTACAGTGTGTGAATGTGAGTGTATAAAAGCGTCTTTGAGTGTCCAGAAAAGTGCTATGTAAGTGTAATGCATTATTATTATTACTTGTTTAATTATTTATTTTAATTCTGGTGCCTGTTTTCAGCAGCTGAAACACATCTTCACGTGCTTGTGGATATCATATATTCTATATGAAAACATGACTGTAATAATAAGTAAAGGTTATCAGCTGTAGCTTCAGTGTTCTCATAGGAAACGTGACAAAAGAAAAGAAAACACATTTTTCTTTATGGCCGATATAGTTGTCATCATCAACATAACATGATTTACAGAATACATGTGAACAACTAACATTTCATGTTCTACCACCGGATGTTTGGATCAAAATATAAACCAATCAGATCTTAGATCAGGTGAGAGCCAGGCGTTTCCCGTCATCCCCTAGGTTTTGCAGCCGGTGGAGAGCAACTGCAGCACCTTGCTCCAAAATCTGCGGCCGCCTTGATCTCACGAGGTTATCGTTGCCTACGTATGCATGACGTCAGAGCAAGTCGGCGTCAAGTCGGACACAAATCTAACCGGCATGCACTGCTCGCTGATCACCGCTGGTCTAATCTGCGCAGAACTGGCTCATCTCGAACACAGCTTCGAGATGAGCCAGTTCTGCGCAGATTGGATGAACATGAAATGTTAGTTGGTCACATGTATTCTGTGAATCATGTTATGTTGATGATGATAACTATATAGGCCATAAAGAGAAATGTGTTTTGTGTTATTTTGTCACGTTTCCTTTGAGCACACTAAACCTACAGCTGATAACCTTTACTTATTATTACAGTCATGTCTCCATATACAATATATGATATCCACAAGCAAGTGAGGATGTGTTTCAGCTGCTAACAGGCACCAGAATTAAATTAATTAATTAAACAAGTATGAACTCTAACGGGATATCTTCAGCCATCGTCACCCCCTAGCTACACATGTAGAGAAATCTGTCCAACTTAAATGCCGGCTTTCAGGCACTCCCCCTGCGGCTTCCGTCTGCTCTTGTCTGTTTTCCAGGTGAGGCGCAGCTCAACTTGAACACGGCCATTAGCTCGAGCTGTTAAGCAAAGCCTCGTTTATTTACAACACGCCAAATAACCTGCTAATGATTCCCAGTCAGCTACTTAGCTGCATTTAGCTACCAACATCTTTCAAATGCTTTTCACATCAAAAGAGTAGTGCTTGTGTTAAACTTGCTTTTCAACATATTCTACAGAACTTTGAACGTGGCTCTGAATAGAACCTTGAACACCAAATATAACATTGAACGTAAAACTCCAACAAGTCCTACTCTCAACTGGTGTGGTGGATCTGTTTTCTTCATTCATTTATAGCAGTGAGCCCTCACAGTTACCTTGTTAGCCTAATTTTTGCCAGAGACTTCAATCATAAATACAAACACGTTAAACAGTCATTCACATTAACATGGTTAAACGGAACCAGGGAGGTTTGGTTCAAGAAAAAATAAAACAAAAATGTCACGTTAGCAGGCGGCTACCTCAGGCTAGCTGGAATTTAGCTAGAATTAACATCTGCAATTATCTGGACTTACCTTCAAAATTACAGAGGAAGGATGAAACGTAGCACTTGAAAACCTTTTATTTGGACCCTTTGCGCGTAATTCAGTGACTGCCCCCTTTGCCACGACTGTTTACAATCTGTTGCGGTCCAACATGGTGGACCCACGTGATTATGTGATGCGTATCACGAAAGTGACGTCACAGACCCGGACTCGATAAAAACAGTAGCGTCCGCGCTTGTTATGTTCCAATGGATTTCACATATAATGTCCGTGAATTTAAAAGAAGCGTTTTGATACCAAGAAAGCGCAAATATTTGAACGGGGGGAAACGTAATTTTAGGTTTTTTGTCCAGGACTACAAATGCGCATCACGGAAGTGACGTCAACGACCCGGACGCGCTAAAACCAGTAGGAAAATGGCTGCAAGTTCAGCAAACTTATAATTGTTTATTCGACAGGAAAAAAGAACACCTTAAATCTGGCGATGTGGTAAGTAGCACCTACGCTATGGGAGACGTTTCTACGTGCTGATTTCCGATTTGTAGTGTTTTTTTTTTGTTTTGTTTTTTTCAAAACTTTATTGAACAAGGTGAACCCGATTTGTAGTGTTACTATTTGTGAATAAAGTAAAGTGACGTCAAGTCCCGGAGTTCTATTGGTTGTTTGGTTTCAAAAACCGTCTTCCACCCCACTGATTGGTTGAGACAACCTTTAACTGAAATAGGCGCCCAAAACCGCTTCAGTCTTTTACAGACTCGCTTTGAGTGTACTTCGTGTATATTCAGAGTTCTCCCTAACCCTCGTTTTCCAAGTTGGTATCAACCATATTTGGAGAGCTTCCTTCACCTCTGTTCCTCTGTTTGCATTTAACGCAGCGCATCGTTTTCTGTTGAGGTGAGTCAAACTTGCTTGTTTTTTGGCGGTGTTTAAACATGATAAGATTTGGCTGTTGTAACTTAGCTTCTCTGCTATTAGTCTGCTGGCTCTAAATCCATGTTAATAGCCTGTGTGTGCACATTTATTTCAGTGGTGTGTTTGTGTAGGCTTGTAAATTAGACCGCTAGTTTTGCTGTAATTGTCAGGGAAAGCATTCTTTGGAAGCTGCTGAGGCCTGGCTTAGCAATGTTCTGTGACTGGGATCAAGGCCGGATTAACCATATGGGCAAGTGGGCAATTGCCCAGGGCCAGAGGTGGAAAGTAACGAATTATATTTACTCACGTTACTGTAATTGAGTAGCTTTTTTGTATATTTATACTTTTTAAGTAGTTTTTAAAATCTGTACTTTTACTTTTACTTGAGTAAGTTTTTAAAAAAGAATTGTAATTCGCTACATTTTAAATCATATCCGTTACTGAGTAAAAATAAATTATAGGCTTAATAAATTATAAATATTACGTGAAGCAGCGTCGGAACGGAAAGAGACACCTGAATGAGCGCCACGTCTAAACCGTTGGGGGTGTGTGGGTGTACACTTTTGCTCAAAAACATCAGTTCAGTCGATCAACTCGCTGTTTACCTCCTCTCTCCCTCCTCTCCTGTGGGTTGGAACCCGCACCTTCGCGCACCGGTGTGACGTCATCAGAATTCTGCTCGGTTCGGTAGCCGGGCTCGGTTCCGTGTTTGAATTGTCTTTTTCTACCGCTCCGCACGGCAGCGGCAAAATAACGTTTAGCGCTCATAACAAGCGGATTCTCAGCGCTTTGCTCATAAAACAGAAGACCTGCAGGCCTCTGTGAGTTAAACATCCTGATTGTACAAAAGGCCCCATAGTTTTGAGTTCTCCTTTCTATTCTGTTCAGTTGTTCACCTGTAGTTGCTTAGAGTGACCTGTAGATGTCACCCCACCACTTTGGATGGGAGAGGTTTTGAACAGGTGGATACGTGGGTGAGATCTATATGAGTGTGTTCGCTCCAGTTTACCAGCAGAGAAGTGGTCATTTCGTGAGAAGTGTGCGTTACTGAGCAACGTAAGTCTGTGATGTGTGAGGATGTGCGGATAAAATGTGTTTGTGACTGTAATCGAAGTTAGAGGGAAGTTACAATGTTTCTGTTTGTGTCGCTAGCGAGTGCTAAGCTAAGTTAGGCTAGCTCTCCTGCTGTGTGATTGGGGATAATTGTGTGCTGAGTGGGTTTATATATGGGATGTGGGTAATATCTGGTTTATGGTAGCAAAGGGGACGTTAGTTTCTTTCCTACCTGTGTTTCTGTTGATGTACTATTTTCTTTCTGTTCATTTCAGAGACCACACACACACACACACACCTGTACCTAGACTTGTATGTAACACCTGATCCTCCAACAAGCCTGTTACCTTTGACTGTGTGGAGGCAATACAAGCGTTCAAACCATCCTGGGTGTCTTCAGTGTCTTCTTCCTGAATCGCCATCCAGGCCTAGAGTAGTGTTCTGGCCGACACTCCGGGGAGTGGCAGCTACAAACCGGAATCAACACCTTACAGTCCCCCCCTTCCAGGTTATCTACCCAACACTGATACTGTTCAAGTGTAAACATTGTGCTCCATCCCTGTGTTTGTACTCAGAAGATGCTCCTTGATGCCACAGATATGTGATGATTTAGCTTGTTTCTTTATTTTAGTCCAGAATAAGAGATTAAATTATTACAAAAGCAGTCCAGTGTAGTTAAATTAGTCATTCAAATGATTAGAACATGCTACAGTGTGTGTGTGTGTGTGCGCGCGCGCTTGCGTGTGCATGTGCGAGCGTGCATGTGTGTGTGTGTGTGTTACACATATAGAACTGCATGAGACAGCGTGGTTTCATCAAATTCATGCATCTTGTATCTTGGCTGAAGTAATGGCTCAGGAAAATATATTTCATAAATAATGACATCTTAATAGTGTCTATGATAATGTTTTATCTTATCTTTGGTCTGGGAGGTGTAACTTATCATGATACATGCCTTTTAAAACATGTTAATGTGCTACAAAAGGAGATGAATGCATTAATTTAAAGTTCATGTTAGGAGTCCAACCTTCACAGACTGGCTCACGCTGGTGAGGAGACACCGTTAGTTCTAGTAACACCTGGGCTCCCAAGGCCTGTTCTGACAGGATGGACGTTACGGGACCCTTAAGGATTCCATTTGGATGATTGGAGGATTATTTAGGAGGATTGGAATGAACAAACTGGTTTCAGTGGTGAAGGGTTAAATGAGTGAGTGAACCCACTACCAAGGATGAACTCTGCTAACTTTAAAAATCAGCTACTCTAAATAAGCATGAAGGTCAGAGAGGAGCTCTAGGATGGACATGGATAAAGGAACTGTAATGTAGAGGTAAAGTAGGGCAGGGCCAACGTTAACAGCTGTCATACGGTCCATTTGAAAAGTAAAATGTAGGTAGATTTATCTCCACTACACGTTTTTACCTGTACAAAACAATAAGTTCTACACATGTCATATTTATACATCTGATACAATTCAGATCACCTTCAAAACTCTGTCACACATCCAGGGCCTTTTCAAGACATTTTGGGGGCCAAGGCAAAATGACCCCACCCACCCCCACCCCCCATTACTGGGTTCCCCAGAAGCCTCTGTGTAATTCATACCCTCTCCAGGAGTGTTAGTTATACAGTGTTTATAAAAGCTCCTCAGACATCGCTGACATGTTATCAGATGGAAAACTAAATTATCAGACACGCTGTCTCATCTGCTGCTTTTCTGAACCTGCAAAAAGTAACAAAACCATTTTAAAGCCACCATTTGTGGATTCTCTGAAAGTTTCCGTGGAGTGTGTGAACACTTATTTTTTCATTGATCCTATCGTCTAATCTCACAGCTGAAACAAGCATCCTTAATAATCTGTGCACAGGAAGCTTACCGTTGCTGTAGTAAAACAAAAGGTATAATAATTTATTATTAATAAAACCTTGTTGCAGCACTAAAGCAGAAAAATTAGATTTTGCAATAAATATGCTAAATATTTACATATGAATTGTTTTGGAGCCCTTTTATTGGCAGAATTTGATATTAATTTAGTTCTTACAAAAAATGGGTCCCAACGTGGTTTGTGTGGCGTTGCCATAGTGTGATGTCATAGGCACAGATCCCCTGTCCTCTTGTTTGGAAATGGAAATATGGTCACCCTATATTCAACTAACTCTCCACCTGGGCTTTTGCGCTGCACAGAGATGCTTCGCTGCCTATGACTTTGAACGTCAGTTGAGAGTCAGTCTCATGCAGACTGACCAATGAAGAGAGGGCCTCAAGTTAAGACCCTCTCCTCATTGGTCAGTCCACACGAGGTGGGTCAAAGGTTACCCTGAGCGGGTTACGTGATGTCAGGCATTCAAGTATTGAGTATATTTACTGCATATTACAGTAAAATATTCTGTATGTGACCATATTGTGGTGATCCTTGGGTCGTGATGATGGGGCCCTTGAATATTGTTGGCCAGGGTACAACAAAGTGTTAATCTGGCCCTAACTGGGATGACAGGCTGGAATAAAATGGCGGCTTGTTTAAAGACAGTGTTGGCTGGCAGCCCTGTAACAGTGCTAACCACCGTGCTGCCGTAATAATAACATTAAATAACATTCATGATGACATTAAAAGGGGCATGCCAGTAGGTGTGTATCAGTTTATAACTACATAAGGTATTTTGAGCCAATAAGTTGGTTGTGGATCACTGACTACCATGTTTCTTAACATTACCTTACTCCATCTAGTGTGCTACCAGCAGAGTATATGGTAAAATGGTAATGGTTGTTAAAACATTAACCTAATATGTGAACTGTAGCTTTTAAGTCAAATGCTACTGGCATAGCTCACCTTCAGTCTGCTGTTGAACAAGGGCTAAACCTTCTAGAATTACCATGTCAAAGACCAATCAAAAGTCCTGATCCATCTCCAACAGCATTTAAAACAGATTCATCTGGAAAGCAACTTTGCACAGGGACGGTTTGTCACAGTTACAGCCTGAGAGAGCTTGTATGGATTGACACAGACCTTGGAAAATGCTCTACAGAAACTTTGGGGCACCGTTTACACAGTCCAAAAAAGGTTTTTGCTTATTGAATTCCCATCCACTCTGCTACTTCAAGGAGAGAAATTCACACTGAAAGCAGTCATTACATTTCAGGAGGGCCCAACACCATAAACACTCGGGCATTATGTGACGTTCTGTGACAGGACCTCGTACAGTAGCGGCGTTTAAAACAAAGCTAAAGACCCACTTTTATGGTTTTGCTTTTAATTCTGCAGGTTAGATGTTTATATATATATATATATATATATATATATATATATATATATATATATATATATTTACATGAGTTTATTCTGCTTTTAAATGATAGTTTTTATTTTTTGTCTCTCAGTCTTACTGTGACACACACAGAAAGATGTGGTCACATTTTTCGTATTGATGCTTTAACCATCTGATGTAATTTATTCCTGTGTGAAAAAAATATATATATATTTAATGGATTCAGGCTAAAAGGAAAAGAAAAAAAAACTTAGAGTCTCTAAGGACATTGTCTTTGTAAACTGTTCTGTAAAGGTAATGCACCTTAATGCCAGTAGAGGGCAGTATGATACTTGGCAGCTGACCGGGACAGTTTGGTGCGGACATTGGCACAGCCGTTAGCTTTTCCTCATTCTGCAATGAAGAGCTAACGCAGCAACACCATACTGATGTCCTGTCTGCTCATTTGACTGTTTTTAACAGGTTAGTGTCCTCATATAAGAGCGATAAAAAGGTGAAAATGGGAGAAAACCGTGTCAAGATGTGTTTGTCAAGCACCTGTTAATCGGTTTGGGAGCAAGTTTTGTTCTTAATGTGTGGTTTAAATGTGCTGTACGCCTGGCGCCCCCCGATGGTGAAGTTGATATGGCGGCACAATAACGGCTTCATGTTTACTTGGATTTTATCCTGTGTGCTCCATGTAAAATGAATGGCATTGCTGAGAAAGAAGTGTTATTTTGTTCATGTAGGTGAAATAGTGAAAATAAGCAAGGTAGTTGATGAGAGTTATTTAAACTGGTTTGCATTTATATTATTTTAAAGCTTAAGTGGGGTAGAAATATTAAGTTTGTTCCATGAGTGTCTTATTATATTATGAACATGTAGTGATGAACCAGTATTGCAAGAAAATGTCAAATGCGGTAAAATAAGTGTCTGACTATTCAGAATTTGTCAAAAGGGAACTGCTTAAACAAGGTGAATGGTAGAAAATGTGCTGCTTGACATGGTTGAAAGTGTTAATAAAATTCTGCAATGAAGAGCTAACGCAGCGACACCGTACTGATGTCCTGTCTGCTCATTTGACTGTTTTTAACAGAATCACCTGTTGCATGGTCACATACCTGGGACCTGTAACATTACTTTACTGTGCAGCACATTGGTGGCATGCCTCATGCTTGTAAGAGGCTCCAAAAATCAAGGTTGATGATAATGCAGGGTATCCGCGGGTCCTTAAAGTCTTAAAAAGGCTTAAATGAGCTTTTCCAAATTTAAGGCCTTAAAAATCCTTAAAAATTAAAAATAATCCTTAAATACAGTTTCCAAAGGTCTTAAATTACCAAGGACCCAATAAACAAGACTTATTTCTATAAAAATTCCATGAATTTCTAGTTGGTGTTCAGCATTTTTTGTGTATGATATTGGCATAAGCGGAACCGTACACATTCAGTCTGTTGTGAAAGGGGGCTATTTTTAAATTAGCATATTCAGGGTTTTACCTGGCTCAAATTGAGGCAGAGGTGGAACCATCTTGACCATGCGCCAACACATGCATACTCTTTGTATTCAACTGCATCACTTTTTTAAAGGCAAAATATTTTTTCGTTAAGTGTTCTAATCTAAGCTTCTGTTGATTAATTGAATATTCCATTTGACAACGTTTCAAGTGAAACAAAACAGGTTTGCTGCTAAAAAAATATGAAATAAAACAAACAAAATTGTCAGGCTGAAATAATGGACTTTTATTATGAAAGGCCCAATAATATGCACTAGATTGGTGTTTAGTTCCTTTTTTCCCATCTGATATTTATAGTTAAAATATTTTTAAATATTTGACCTACATTTCAGTAACATTTTAGGTTTGTATTAAAAACACTCATCTCAGTCTAAATGACACAAATATATACAGTAAAATATCATTAACATGCATTTGTATTGGAAATGGTAATAACAATTAATTTCTGCTGCTAACAATGTAACAGTGGCGTGTCTGTTATGCACGGCTTGTGAATAATCCAGTTCAAATTATGTTCAAAGATGGAAGCGTTTGTGAATTATATACTACAATGGCTTGCTGTAGACTTGTAGCAGTAATGTGACTTGTATCTGCAGCGGTTCTGATATGTACTGCTGCAGGATGCAGAATAAACAGGATGGTGGGGACTTTTCATCCGCTTGTAGAGTTTAGTCTTTCTTAATTTTACGATCATCATGTATTTTTCTGTGTGCCACTTGATAATGAGACTGCTACCTGTTAGCTTTAGCATTAGCCAGTCTGCATGTAGCTGCACTTTTGATCCCAAACTTTGGACCGGTTCTGCCTTTGTACCTTTGCTGGTTCCTTTATTTTCCTCCACTGCATCCAGATTTCCACACTGTGCGCCAGCAAAAAGCATTTTTCTTACACATAACTTACTTTTGTTCAATAACGTTCTGGGGAAAATAGAAATTCAAAGATGTTGCACCAGTGCTTTGTTTAAAAATAGACAGACACGCACAGACAGTTTTTGTCGTCGCACTGTACAGCTCTGCTATGGAAGAGCCTGGGTGAAATCAGGACGTCAATAGTACCAACCATAGATATGTACCACTAGTGAAAAAAGCAAGTTTTGATCTTTGTCTGCTGCAGTTTTGGCGCTTTTCGGTGAACCGCTGCTCATACAACGCCCTAGTGGCGCAATGCTGCATCTGCTGTTAAAATAACATCAATATAGCTGGGGGCAGAGTGAAATCAGGCTGGGGCGGCACAAAATTAGCTGGAGGCAGCCGCCACACAAATTGGAATGCAGGAAAAACCCTGCCGCATTAGTTGGTTAAGCTAGTGGGAGCTTGCGCCATGGAGAAGTGCAAGTTTTATGGTAACTGGATGGCTAATCCCACGTTCATGACGTGGTTAACACCGGTTCCAGGCAATAGCTGGAAATTATAGCTTAAATTTAATTTTAAAAATAGCTTACATTTGGTCAAAGTGGCCTTAAAAAAGGTCTTAAAAAGTCTTAAATTTGGCTCCCTTAAATCTGCAGATACCCTGTAATGAAGACGAGTATTAGAATTTGTCTTAAACCCGAAATTGCATTTTTTTTTAATTATTATTACACTCTTCAAAGGGTAGAACCAGAAAAATGCCTTTTTCAGCAGGTTGGCATGGCAGCTTGTTAGCAGTCAGAGAGGAGAGTCTGACACATGAGACATATGAAGATTTGTTTAATTTCTACAGCAGCATTGTTGTATCAGCTCAGCTGTAATAGAAGTTGGTGTTTTGGAATAAATGATTAATAAAGTCTCATTTTGCATTTGCTTTCAGGGCAACTAGCAGTGAGCATGTAGCTAATGTTGGCTGACTAGGAGGTGCTGCTGGTGAACATAAATGTAGTATAGCAATGTTATATTTACTAAATAGAAACAACAAACATGATCAAATGTACTTGTGAAAAGTAATCCCTGAGCTATGCAACTTCAGAGTATTAAGGTTGGTCCCTGTTCATCTCAGTAAAGTGTAGCTGACATGCTGGAGCTTGAGTCTGCTTCCATTGCATGTTGCCTACATGTCTTCAATGTTGAACACAGTTCATTTGTTTGATATAGTGAAACTGCTCCTGTACAAACTAATGAAGGCTGAGGACACATTTTTGCAGTTAGATGAAGGTGTTAAAAAGACAAACGCACAGCAAGAAGTCAAGTAGCATTTCTGCTTGTTAAACAGTCAATTACTTACAAACTTTAGGGGGTGCTAAAAGCAAGCAGGAACTGCATTGTTTCCCTTTTAAGGTACAAAACTGGTTATTTTGTATGTTTACAACTTTACTTAAAGAGCAAGTCAACCCCTACCAGAGTCTAACTCCACTCTCACTTAATGTTTGAAAAATGCAACAAATGCTGTTGCCTGGCAGACCGGGAAGGTGGAGCTGCTAACAAATACACACACAGGCTCACAACATCATTGTGACATCATAATGTACCAGTTTACATCATAGCATACCTCTTAGCCAATAGCGGTGGCAGATTTAAATTAAAATACAGTGCAGAGTTTTTACCTGACAACGGCACAACACTGCCAGTTTTAGGCAGAATATTTAAATTTGAACTAAGATGCACTGAAGTGCCAAGTTATTGACTACACGTGTCTGCCTCACGATTAGACACTGGTTTATTTAGTTTATCAGCAAAAAATAGTTTAGTTGGGGGTGACTTGCTCTTTAATGTTTAACAAGCGACAGGCAACTTGTGTGACAGTCAGTTGTGTAGTGCTTGGAGCTAATGTGGGGTTGCCTTCTAAATAATTAACTTACTTTATTTCTTTCAAACAGCATTCACCATGCCTGGCAAAGTGTCCAAACGCAAGGCGGATGCTGCCAAGCGCAGCAAACGTCCACCTCCGCCCCTGCGTATTGGGATTCCAACGCCCAACAGTGACGACGTTCATCGTATGTATTTAGTAGAACAAATTATTGTAGTGTTATGCAATTCATTTAATTTATACTGTATTTATGTAAGGTGAAAAAATTATTAGACAAAAAAAGATTGAAATGTTTTTTTTTTTTTTAAGTCTCTGGTACCGGCTGGCGCCATAGAGTTCGTCGTTGGCCAACTAGTGCAGTGTCCAACAAAGCTCACAAGTTGGTCCTTCCGGGTGGGATTCCTGACAAGAAAGTGAGTGTAATGTTCACAAATATTTAAAATGTAAATATAGATTTCCTTCCAATACTATGTAGCAGTACTATGGGATCCTAAGGAAACAGTCAGATGGTGTTGAAGCTGCTATCAGTTACAGTGCTGCAAACGGATTGAATTGGCTTCTTTTAGACTTGTGCCCCAAGTCTACCAACTTTTGAATCTTAATAGAAAACCTAGTTGTAATCATCCTTTTTATTCAGTGCTTCTCAATCTGTGATTTAGAACTTAAACTGCTCAGTTATTTTTACATGTCTTTATTTTTATTTACATGTCATTATGTTTGTGTATTTTGTAATTGGTTTTACCATTTCATGTTTTATTGTTTGTAAACTTTGACTGTTTAATGTTATCTCTTTCTTCCTGAAAAGCATATTGCATTGTCTTTTGTATGAAATGTCATTTAATACAGATAGTTTTATATGAAAATGTATTTATTTCTTTTTCTAATTTAGTTCGTCCTACTTGTTGGGGACTCCCACTTGAGGTCCGTGGCAGACGGCATAGTCCCTATGCCGGTTGGCGGCCTCGCTTTTGGAGTGATGTCCACTCCAGGAGCTTGTGCAGATCTTCTGCGCCTTGAGGTTTCACAGGCTGTGTTACCTCGGGAGCCTGATGCTGTTTGCGTCATGGCTCCTTCTAACAACCTTACGGCCAGCAGAACAGTTGAAGAGGCAGGGGATGCTTTTGAGCGGTACCTTTTGGCTATTCTCAGTCGCTGGCCTAAGGTGAGGAGCTGATTTGTGTAATTTTGGAGGTATAGGAAGTGACTGTAAACGTATATTAAAAAAATTATTTCTTTATTTTTTTAGGTTTTCTGTACCGCCATGATTCCCCGTTTAGTTGGATCCTGGGAGCGTCAAGACCTGTTTCAGCAGGAGTACCACCGCAGATCGGCTAAGCTACGTAAGTTGCAACATAATTGGATAAAAAGGTAGTATTGACGACAAGTGTTATTGCTATATACTCTTAGGCATCAAACATTCACATTTCATAACTTTACATTAATTTTTTTCCTTCTGCTTCGAAGGTGTAAGTTACGTGCCGATCCACGATGACCTACCCAGGTACCGTCGCGAACTGTGGTGCCGTGATGGTGTAAGTATATTGCTTGGAAGAAAACGAGGTAAAGATTCTTAAATTTGAGGTAATAAATTTGTATTTTCTTTTGTTTGTGTTTGTGGTTGCAGATCCACCTCAGTGATGACCACGGGATGCCTATACTCACGCAACTGATGTGGCATGCCTCCTATCAGTTCTTGGAGACACCCGCACCAAAGCCACTGGTGCAGCACCAGGTGTCTCATCCGCTGAAAGCGAGTATTGTGCCCCGTGTGGTTGTGAAGGGTGTGGAACGCATTCCACCTCCACCCCCTTCCGAATGGACGTTCGTGAGACCTAGCGGGAAGGTGAGACACTTTATAAAGTATAAATATTGTAAAATGTTTCTAATTTTAAGCAGCTGTGACACTAATGCTTCTAAATGTGTTTTCTTTTATTTACCATTGCAGAGGAACCATTCAGGGGAATTTGAAAAGGCTTCTAATTCCCCCAAGAAACGAGTGGTTCTTTCTGAGGTTTGTGAATGTTTTTGATTTATCTTTTTCAAAGAATTTTGATTAGATGATAATATGTGGTGAATTTTCTTCAATAGACTGATGACACTTCAGTGGCCTTGAAGGAGTGTTTCATCCCCCTGAATCCCGTTAGATTCTCACCTACAATTCTGGCTGCCATGGACACGCTAGCTCCATCGGCTCTTGGTGATGTCCCCACAGACATCCAGGTATCTTTAGACAAAGGCTTTATTGTCTCTTAATGTATAGTGTAATGGTGTTCCTGATGGTTGTAATATGGGCTGTCGGTATGTCATTTTTAAAGTATTACACTAAACTAAAAAATAATACTTTTGTGTTTGTAGACTACGTCTGTGGGACATCGCAAGAAGCCTGCTGTCTTGAAGCCCAGGCCAGTAAAGCAGCGGGTAAATAATTGTTTGATTAATTAAAGACTCTTGCACACAAAAACATTATGGTGTCAGTGATCATACAACTGTTGTGAATTACTTCAGTTCTTGGAGACATCCTCACCAAAGCCACTGGTGCAGCGCCAGGTGTCTCATCCAGTTACGGCAAGTAATGTGCCACGCGTTGTTGCGAAGGTTGTGGAAACCATTACACCTCCACCCCCTTCCCAATGGACACCCGTGAGACCTGATGGGATGGTAAGATACTTTGTAAAGTATAAATATTCTTAAAAGTGTATGACTTTAGGTGACACTGCTAGTAATGCCTTTCAATGTGCTTATTATTTATTTTAATCATTACAGAGGAACCATTCAGGGGAGTCTGAACACGCTTCTGATTCCCCCAAGAAAGTAGTGGTTCTTGGTGAAGTTAGTGAATGTTTTGATTACATTTTTTTAGATTATTTCCATATAGATAGTAATATCTGGTCATTCTTGTTCAATAGATTGGCACTCCAGTGGCTGTGAAGGAGTGTTCCATCCCACAGTTCTCACCTGACAATGTGGTTGCCATGGACACACTTGCTCCATCGGCTGGTTCAGATGGTCCCACAGACATACAGGTAACTTCAAAGAAAATGTTTATTATTATCTTCTAATGTGAAGTGTAATGTACTTCCTGATGTTTGTAATATGGGCTGTCTGTATGGTATATTTGAAAGTATTGTACTTAACCGTGTTATTTTCTGTTTGTAGACTACGTCTGTGCGACATTTTAAGAAAGCAGCTAGGCGTGTCCAGCAGGAGGTTGATTCATTAAATTATCTGGCATACAAATACATTGTGGTGTTATTTTTGTTAACTGTTGTTGTTCTTGAATTATAGGTTGCATTCCCACCTTGCATAAATCCTCTTGCAGACGTGGAGTCTGTTCATTTTAGGAAGGAGGTAAGAAGTGTGTGTTTCAAACATAAAAACTAAACAAATCTTGATGGTGTTTAGGATGTATTGCCCTTTAATTTCTTTTATATAGGTGTTGGACTGTGACCAGCTGCCTTTACCCCACCATCAGGAGGCATCTGGTTGTCCTGGGTCTGTCTCTGGGTCTGGTGCTGCTCATGCTGTGATGCCTCCTTCTGGCCAGAAGGGTGATTGCCATCACGTGCATGCATCACCCAGAGGTCAGTCCACTAACACCCCTTCTTGCATGCGTTCACAGATTTTGCTATCGTCTCTAGTTCCAGAGACAACTGTTCAGGAACCTTCAAGCAGTTCTGTTGTAAATAATTTTGATGAAGATGATACAAGCTCACACAAGGATGATAAAGTTTTAGACTCTATCCTAGGATCATTTCACCAGGGCGATAGGCGTTTTAAATATGGGGGAGTTCAGTGTGCAGCTATTACTGTTGTTGCTTTAACAAAGCACAAACAGAAGAGTGTTTTTTCTTGGGACTTTGCCGTGTTGGATAACGTTGTTGAGTTAGGAGATGAGCTGTACACAGATTTGCGCGACAACAAAAAGATTAGAGGTGGACATGAGTTTCTCTCTGTTCCAGACTTGCCAAAGGAAATTGACATAGAAGAACAGCGTTTTAAGCTTGTTTACGGGGATTTTGTTTCAGGAGATGTAGATGTAGTTGAAGGCGAGTTAATAGATGCTGGTGTGTACACTCCTCTCCTGGATGGATTGCAGAAGATGTGCACACAGCATGAAACTTGCATTATGACATTAAGTGGCAATACTTGCGCTATCATTTGTGATAATGGACGTTATGCTGTAGTAGATTCCCATGCACGCTCTGCAGACGGCATGGTAGACCCGACAGGACAGAGTGTAGTTGTGTACTTTGCAAACCTTGATAATGTTTTTCAACATTTTCAGAGGTTTGCTAGTAAACTAGTGGGATCTCAGAAGTCATTTGAGATCACTGGAGTGGATATTGTTCAGATGGACACATTTACAAATGTATCTGAACAAACAAGCGCAGTTCCCACGAAGGCCAAAGGGGAGAAGCGCAAAAGGTCATCCACATCCACAGCATGCAAAAGGACGAAGATTGATGATGTTAAGGATATGGACTCTGTTTTTGTTAGTGATGTTACGACAAAGGTTTTGCATTTTGATCCCATCTCTAGTGATGTGTCAGAGGTTCTGTGTAAACGGTTGAATGTGGAGTATGAAAAGTGTGATTATGCTTGTTATGGTGTTGGTGAGTTGGGTGTACCTTGTGTGAATGAGGAAATAGTGGGTGACGGAAACTGTTTTTTCAGGGCAGTAAGTCGAGCTGTTACTGGCACCCAGAAACATCATAGAAAAATTCGGCTCGCTGTGGTAAACCAGTTAAAAAGGAATCCTCAAACATATCAAAGTATTTTAAGAAGTGAGTATTCCTCGGTTCCACACTATCTTAACTCATCTAGGATGCAATATGTAGGAAACTGGGCAACTGAGGTAGAAATTCAAGCTGCCGCTGATTATTTTGGCATTAACATTTTCACTTACTGTAATGATAAATGGCTTGAATACAGCTCCAACAGCAGCATATCTAATCAAGGTGTTTATTTACAAAATTGTAATGGTAACCATTATGAGACAGTCATTTGTGTTAAACAGCTTAACATGGAAACATGTTATGGGTATTGCAAGACTGTAGATGATGATTCTGGAAAATATAACACTCGACAAGCTGCTACTGAACCTTGTTCTATAGAAGCACATGATGCCAGTGCCATTGATGATTCCAATACTTTTACTCCTCTGTCTGCAGATGTTTGTAAAACTCTTTGTAACATGTTGAAAATAGATTATGACAAACACACTTCCCAAGACTCTACACCATGTGGGACTTTGGGAAATGTGTGTAAGACAGAGGATATTGTAGAAGATGGTAATAGTTTTTTCAGAGCTGTAGCTCATTCAATTAGTGGGTCACAGAAAGGCCATCGTAAGGTCCGACTTTCTGTTGTTTCATACATGTTAAAAAATACTGAACAGTGTCAACAGTTCCTGGGAAAACATGCTTCTGTGTCACAATATATAGAACACTCACAGATGAAGTATGTAGGTCACTGTGCTACAGAAGTAGAATTTAGGGCTGCAGCTAATATGTTAGGCGTGCACATATTTATTAATAATGGCACTGAGTGGATCAAATATAGTCCTAAATCCAGTAATTTCATCATTGAGGGACTATATTTGTCAAACTGCTTTAATATTTTTAAACCTGTTATTTGCACTAAGCAGGGTGACAAAGAAACATGTTTGGGTTTTTGTAAAGTTGATTCTTTGTCAGACACTGTAAACAGGTGCAGAAGATCAATAAAAAAGCAGTTAAATGCTGACCCAAACATTAAAAGTATGAACAGTAATAAAGTTTTGTCTAAATATAAAAAACAAAAAAAGGCTTTTACAAAAGCCTTTCGATATAGAAATGACAATACATTTAATGAAAAAGTTAAAACTCAGAGCCAAAAATTATATAAGACAAGTTTTGTATGCAGGTTGACAAAAATCAATTCCAGCAAATTTAAATACAAATTTGTTACTACACATAAACAGAAAGTTAAACAGATGAGTTCGTATAACTATCATCATAAATTGTCTTACAGAGAAAACGTTAAACAGAGGAGTATTCATGAATACCACCATAATTTGCTTTATCAAGAAAGAGTTAAACAGAGGAGTATTCATGAATACCACCATAATTTATCTCATCAAGAAAGAGTTAAACAGAGGAGTATTCATGAGTACCACCATAATTTATCTCATCAAGAAAGAGTTAAACGGAGGAGTATTCATGAATACCACCATAATTTATCTCATCGAGAAAGACTTAAACAGAGGAGTATTCATGAATACCACCATAATTTATCTCATCGAGAAAGAGTTAAACGGAGGAGTATTAATAAATACCACCATAATTTATCTTATCAAGAAAGAGTTAAACGGAGGAGTATTCATGAATACCACCATAATTTATCTCATCAACAAAAAGTAAGAGAGTTGAGTAGAAGGCAGTATCTTAAAGATGAACATAAAACACGATTAATAGAAGGTATAAAGCACAAACGAGAGCTGATTAAATTAAAGTCACAACACTTTGATTTTGTCACTGAGCAATTTTTGGAGAAGGTAAAAGATGGACCTGATTTTGTGTGTTGTGTATGCTCTCGATTGTTATTTAAACATCAGGTCTTAAATTGTCGCAAAGATTATTATAAAAAAAACAAAGAAATGTCACTTATAGCAGATAAATGTATAAGTGAAGATTATATGCATAGATGCACCAGTGCCTGCAAGTCACCATGTGAGTTTTTCAATACATCTAGAAATTCATTGTATATCTGTTACACTTGCCATTATAAAATTAACAATGGTCAAATACCTCCACAGAGTTCAATCAACAAACTGACTGTTGATCCCATCCCACCTCAGTTGGCACGATTAAATACATTAGAGCAACATTTGATAGCTTTAAATATACCATTTATGAAAATGTTGGCTCTGCCTAAAGGTGGTCAGAATGGAATTCATGGGCCTGTAACTTGTGTACCAGCAAATATAGTTGAAACGTGCAGTTTGTTACCACGCACCAACATGGAGGGGTCTTTATTACCTGTAAAGTTAAAACGCAAATTAACATATAAAGGCCATTATGATTATCAGTATGTTGACGCAGTGCATGTCCAGGAAGCTCTTCAGTATTTAAAACATCATAATTTACATTACAAAGATGTACAGTTCAATGAAGCGTGGATTAATGAATTTTCTCGTGTGGATGACCATTCTGTATCGGAAAAGAACAGTGTTGCTGATAAAGATGAGGGTGCGTGCATAGAAGAGGATGAAGATGAACTGCTGCATGATCGACAGCAACACTGTATGTTTCAGGACACCTGTCTCATGCCAGTGGATATAGGACAAGAAGCATTAGATCAGTATGTTGACAACGTGTTAAATGTAGCTCCTGGTGAAGGTAATAATCCGGTGAAATTGCTTTCTGATGTTACAAATGAGGCGAAATGTTTCCCTGTATTATTCCCTTCAGGATCAAAAACGTACCACGAAAGCCGGCAATATAATTTGACATTGAATCGTTATTTTAACACTAGACTTCTTCACGCTGATGGGCGATTTGCTCATAATGTAGAATATATCTTTTTTGCGCAGTACATGTCTGAACTGGAGCAGGTTGTGTCTAAAGTTTCTATAGCTCTACGTAAAGGTAAAAGTGGTGAATCCCATGACTTGCGTAATTTGGTAAAGGATCAGGATTCCTTAAATAAGCTGTTGGAGTTTGATGATGGGTATCGTTTCCTCAAACCTATTCGGGGCACACCTGCATTTTGGCAGACTGCACAACGCGACCTGCTGGCATGTGTTAGAATGCTGGGCAAACCTACTTGGTTTGCATCATTTTCGTCAGCAGATATGAGATGGACTAATCTCCTGTACAGTATTTTGAGACAGGAAGGCAGAACACAGACAGTGGAACAGCTGGAGTGGGCTGATAAATGTGAACTGCTGCGTAGAAATCCTGTCACTGCTGCCCGAATGTTTGACTTTCGATGGCACGTCTTCTTAAGAGAAGTTCTTATGTCTCCTGCCAATCCCATCGGTAAGATTGTAGATTACTATTATCGTGTTGAGTTCCAGCAGCGTGGTTCTCCACATTGTCATTGTCTGTTTTGGGTTTCTGGTGCTCCGGTTATAGACAAGAACACAGATGAGGAGGTCACTGCATTCATTGACAAATATGTGACATGTGAACTTCCTCCTGAAGAAGATTCACTGTCTGAAGTAGTCTCATCTGTGCAGCAGCATTCAAAACGACATTCAAAGACTTGTAAAAAGAAAAATACTGTTTGTCGTTTTAATTTTCCACGACCTGCATCGACTAGAACTTTTATTAGCCGTGGTGAAAAGTATCAAGATGCAGCGAAAACTTGTAAATGCAATAAAACAGATTCTACTGTGCAGTGTCCCTGTTTGTCTCAAGATAAATCACATAAACAAGAAATGGACAAAGATGTAGCTAGTGCCATTTTAACTAAAGTAAAGACTGCTATTTCTAGTGACGACTGTCCATATACCAGTGTGGAAGATCTGTTTAGAGGCCTGGGTATTAGCCAGGAAGTATTTGAAATGGCATATAAACGATTTTGTAGAAATACACATGTTGTTTTGAAGAGGCAAGTTAATGAGATTTGGATTAATCAGTATAGCAGGTTGCTGTTAAAAGCTTGGAATGCTAATATTGATATCCAATATTGTGTAGATGCTTATGCATGTTGTGTTTATATAGTATCTTATATGTCCAAAAGCGAGCGGGAAATTGGCCTTCTGCTTGCTAATTCTCAAAGAGAAGCAGCTAAAGATAATGTTAGTGCTAAAGAGGCTTTGAAGACACTCGGAAATGTTTATCTTCATAACCGAGATGTTTGTGCACAGGAAGCTGTGTACAGACTAACCAACATGCATCTAAAAGAGTGTTCTAGAAAAGTAGTTTTTGTTCCCACTGGTGATAATGTAGTGAAAATGAGTTTACCCATTGCTGTTTTGAGACAAAAGGCAATGTCACAGGATCTCAGTACCGACGACATGTGGATGTGCGGCATAGCTGACCGTTATAAGAACAGACCTAATGATAATACATTTAATGACATGTGCCTTGCGACGTTTGCTTCAGAGTATCGTGTTTTGAGTAAAAACGAGAAATGTAAAAACCCCGTACAGTTGAGTAGTGATTTCGGATTTGTCGCAAAAAGAACTCGAACTAAGCCAGCCGTTGTTCGTTACGCCCGTTTTTCTGAAACCAGAGAGCCAGAGAAGTTTTATCAAAGCATGTTGCAGTTGTTTCTGCCACATCGCTTTGATACTGAACTTAAGCCTTCAACCTGTAAAACATTTGAGGAGTTTTACCGAACCGGTTTTATTAGATTTGTTGATGGAACAAACCGTTCTGTAAAGTCTGTTGTAGATTTAAATCGGGGTAAATATGAAATGGAATCTGATCATTTGGAGGTTGTGGACAATATTGTTGGTGATGCAATGTTAGAGAACGCTTGGTGTGAGTTGTGTCCAGAGTTGGAGGGTGAGCGTTTGGAATGTGTGGAAATATTGAAAGAGAGCTCACAAACGGTAAACGATGATCCAGACATCATCCCAGATTTGGCTCCGTCATCTAAGGACATTGGACGATTAGAGAGGAGAAACGTCATGAGTAGAACTGAAGGCCTGGCATTAATTAGATCTTTGAATGAGAAACAGTTCTCTGTTTTTAATCAGATCCGGCAGTGGTGTATAGGTAAAGTTAATGGCGTTAATCCTGAACCACTGCACATTTTTGTTACTGGCGGTGCGGGCACAGGGAAAAGTCACTTAATTCGCGCGATAGAGTATGAAGTTAAAAGATTACTCTCACCTACTTGTAAACATCCCGACAACACGTGTGTGCTCTTAACAGCTCCCACAGGTATAGCAGCATATAATTTGGAGGCCACAACAATCCACTCAACATTTTCTATAGGAAAGGATGTACGCTTACCGTACACTCCTTTAGGTGAAGAGAAGCTCAATTCTTTGCGTTCTCGATTTTGCGATCTCCAGCTTCTCATTATAGATGAAATATCAATGGTAGATCACAACCTCTTATCCTATGTCCATGGTAGATTGCGGCAGATTAAACAAACGGGGAACTTTTCACCTTATGGGAACGTCAGTGTTGTGGCTGTTGGAGATTTTTTCCAGCTGCCTCCTGTTAAAGGGAAACCACTCTATTCTGATGGTGTAGGTAGCAGCATATGGACTGATCTATTTAAGGTTGTTGAATTAACAGAGATAGTTAGACAAAAAGATGCAGTGTTTTCCCAGCTGTTAAATAGGATTAGGACTCATTCCAAAGGTCAACCGCTGTTACCTGAGGATTTACAGATTCTAAAAACTTGTGAAACAGGTGAGGTGAGCTCAGCCTTGCACATATTTGCGACGAATAAACAAGTAAATGAGCACAATATTATTCAGTTATGTCAGACTTGTCCTGATTATATATCATTTAAAGCCAAAGATTATGTTAATGATAAAAAAACTGGCAAACTGAAGTTGTTGGAAGGTAATCATGCTAGAGCTTCGAACACAAATTTGGCTGAAGAGTTGTTGTTGGGTAAGGGTGCGCGTGTGATGTTATGCAAAAATGTGGATGTTGCCGATGGTTTGGTAAACGGGGTCTGTGGTATTGTGACGGAGATTATAATGCAGGACAATGACACCTTTCCTAAAAAGGTTTATGTTCAATTTGATGACCATCGTGTAGGCTTGCAGAGGAGGAAAACTTCCCAGTCTCTGTCATCGAATTTAGCTGGTTCCACACCTATTGAACCAGAAGAGGAAAAAGCCACTGTTAAAGGTGGATTACGACGACAATTTCCTCTCAAACTGGCATGGGCATGTACTGTCCACAAAGTACAGGGCTTGACTGTTAACTCAGCTGTGGTCAGCCTCAGTAAAATATTTGCGCCTGGCCAAGCATATGTTGCCCTTAGCCGTGTGACGACTCTTTCTGGGCTCACAATTCAGAAGTTTGATGCAAAAAGAATCTACTGTAAAGATGACATCACCGTTGCTGTCAGTAGGATGGCGCCCCTTCTGAGTGGACATACACAGTGGGACAGATTTAACACATCTGTCTTTACTTTCTTTTTAATGAATGTCCAAAGTTTGAATAGACATGTTAAAGACTTGGCTTTCTGCACACGGCATTTGCAACCAAGTTGTATTGCTGTAACAGAAACATGGCTGACTACAGCCTGTTCAGATGCGGTAAAGATTGATGGGTACAGTTTTTACAACTGTCCACGACATTTATCGTATACTAGCAATCAAGCGGCATTGGCGGCGTTGCAAGACCAACAACGTGGTGGTGTAGGCATCTACACTGCACATGGAGTGTCCTTTGAACTTTTAAAGGTTCAAGACGTGAACTTGGAGTGTTTAACTTACAAATTTGTTAGTTTAAACCTACTACTGGCTGTAATTTATCGGCCCCCTTTGTATCCTCTTTCTGTATTCCAAGCAAATTTGGTAAAGTTGCTTGATTGGTTGGAGCCTCAAAGTGAGAACGTATTGCTGATGGGTGATTTTAATGATGACATTTTAAAGTCATCTGCTGTATTGAAAGTTGTGACTGACAGAGGCTATGCCCAAATAGTCACAGATCCTACCACAGAAAGGGGTACTTTAATAGATCACGTTTATATAAAATCAAAGGTATATGAAATGGAGGCAGTTGTTATGCCAACATATTTTAGTGACCATCAGGGAATTTTTTGTGGATTTAAACAGTTTTAGTTTTTTTTCCTGATCGGGTCATCATGTATGTCGTAAAATGGTTTTACTACTTTGTGGTGATAATAGTGATATGTCATTGGAAATGGCTGTAGTGACTTTTATAGGTAATCTGGTTATCATGTGGGGTGTTAAATGGCTGTAGGGATTTTTATAGGTAGTCTTGGAATCATGTGTGGTGTTAAATGGCTGTAGGGATTTTTATAGGTAATCTGGTTATCATGTGTGGTGTTAAATGGCTGTAGGGATTTTTATAGGTAATCTGGGCATCATGTGTGGTGTTAAATGGCTGTAGGGATTTTTATAGGTAATCTGGGCATCATGTGTGGTGTTAAATGGCTGTAGGGATTTTTATAGGTTATCTGGGCATCATGTGTGGTGTTGAATGGCTGTAGGGGTTTTTATAGGTAATCTGGGCATCATGTGTGGTGTTAAATGGCTGTAGGGAT